CCCTCTCTCTCTCTCTCTCTCTCTCTCTCTCTCTCTCTCTCTCTCTCTCTCTCACACACACACACACACACACACACACACACACACACACACACTCCACTCTGGTTCAGAAGAGTATTACATTCAATTAAAATTTAATAATATAAACTTACAATGAAATAGATTATGTTAAAAACAAAAATAATAAATACTCAATCTATAACCCCAAGTTATTTGAATATATTTTACTGTCATATATCCCTTGAGAATACTTGCAAGATTATCTATATAGTATATAATGTTATATTCCTGCAAATTTCTCTTTACCTTAGTGTTTGAAATCAACTATGATGGGAGTGTTTACACCATAGAAATTGGCAAATGCTACAAATTAGGAAATCCCCCCCCCCCCCAATCTCCCACCTCAAATAGCCAATTGTTAAATATTTACTACCACGTCAAATATATCTTGCCTGGAATTTTGCAAAAGCCTACTAACTGATCCCGGGAGCCTCCATTACACCACTCTAACTATTCTTTACACCACTGCTAATGTAATCGCCTAAAATGTAAATCATATGATATCTGTCCTTCTCTGACATTTCTCTTAGCATAATACCCTGTAGGTCCATCCATGTTGTTGCAAATGGCAAGATTTTGTTTTTTGTTTTTTATGGCTCAGTAATATTCCATTGTATAGGGTGTCCCAAAATTCATGCAAGATTGCAAATCTTGCGTGAATTTTGGGACACCCTATATATACATATCACATCTTCTTTATACATTCATCTATTGATGGATACCTAGGTTGCTTCCATATCTTGGCTATTGTAAATAATGCTACCATGAACATAGGGGTGTATATGTCTTTCTGATTTAGTGTTTTCATATGATTTCACTTCTATGTGGAATCTAAAAAGCAAAACAAAACAGAAATAGACTCATAGACATCAAGAACAAACTGACGGTGGTTGGAGAGGAAGGAGGGGGAGGACAAAAGGTAAAGGGAGTTAAGAGGCACACAGTTGATCTGAGCGTTAAGTAATTTTACTTATTTATAGGACATCTTGAATAATGCCTGGCATCTAAGACCTAAAAATGCTATATATTGTTATGATGCTTTTTTTCCCTGTGTGACATTTTATTCTGTTTACCATTTATCATCCTTTCAGAGTTGATAAAGCAAAACTTCTTTTTACATCATAAGATACAACATATTCTCATCTTTCTGCCTAGTCTTTTAAAATAATATTTGCAATTTAGAAATAGAAAGCAAAGTACTGTCACCCTAGCTGGTGTTGTTCAATGGTCAGAGCATTGGCCCGAGCACTGAAGGGTTGTGAGTTCAATTCCTGGTCAAGGGCACGTACCTGGATTGCATGATCCCTGACCAGTTGGTGTGGGTGCAGGAGGCAATCTATATGTTTCTCTCTTACATTGATACCTCTCTCTCTCATCTCTCTTTCTATCTCTCTCCCTCCCTCCCTCCCTTGCACTCTCTCTAAAAATCAATGAAAAAAATATCCTTGGGTGAGGGTTAATAATAACAAAAAGAAACCTACTAGGTAATTATTCTTGTATGTTTAGTTTTCCCTAATAAAATAGCTTTGTTTTAAAACCCAATATATTCTTTGAATCAGGCTGATTGAATTATAATTTGCTTAAAAACTAAATTCACTCATATATATATATATATATATATATACATATATATATATGATTGATTTCAGAGAGGAAGGGAGAGGGAGAGAGAGAGATTGAAACATCAATGAGTGAGAGAGAATCATTGATCAGCTGCCTCCTGCACAATCCCTTCTGGGGATTGAGCCTGCAACACAGGCATGTGCCCTTGACTGGAATCGAACCCAGGATTTGTCAGTCCACAGGCCGACGCTCTATCCACTGAGCCAAACCAGCTAGGGCTAAATTCACTCTTTTTAAGAGTGTATAATTTGACCATGTAACCATCACTATCACCAAGACATGGAACATTTACATCGCCCCCAAAGAGTTCTCTCATGCCATTATGATCACTGTTTGAGACTCATCTCTTATCCTGTCCTTCATCCTTCGGGCTTTGGCAAAACACAATTTGTAGTTGCCCCTTGTGAATCATGCTGAGATCACCAGGCCTTTGCCCAGGCTGTTCTTGCATCAGGTGGGCCTTCCACCCACTTCTTGACCTGGCTAACTCCATTCAAGCTTCTCTTGTCACACCTCTGCTGTCCTCAGTGAAGGTTAACACCCCGGCCTGTCCCTGCCCATCCCTGTCTGTGGGCTTCTCTCTCTCTGGCCAGTTTACGTGTGACAGTATTTCATTGGACTGTCATCCAGGGGGATGGCAGGGATCTGTTTCCCAGGCTCTAGCCTGGTGCCTGGCACTGAGCAGATGGGCCTGAGGGCACTTTGTGATGGGCTTTCCCTCCTGCCATGGAAGATTGTGTGATTTGGCAGATACAGGTCTATGGTAGACAATGCAGCAGGGGCAGGCACTCACTCCCATGCAGGCAACCCTGTCCATCTAGTCCTGGGTGGTTCTGGTTTTTCCTAGATACACCTTGGGAGAGAGCAAGGCTGAAATACACTGATGAGGCTGAGCAGGGCTAAGGATGGCGGTTCATGGGTACAGCAGTGGCCAGGCCAGGTCAGAGGATGGGGGATGGGTAGGGACTGACCTGCCCCTGATGGAGCCTGGTGGAGGAACACAGGACAGGGAGGGAGGAAAGGTTTCCATACTGGAACATATCAATACCCCTTACTCCTAGGGAGTTTGTAATCTTATAGTTCATTTAACAATATTTATGGAACATGTATTTACTGAGTCTCTACTCTGTGCTGGTACTGGGTCAGAGTTGGGTAGAAGACACTATTGTGACCACTCCCCTCCTAGCCCCCAACCCCTCGGTGCCCTGTAGGCACTTACCTCCTGCCATGGGATTCTTGCTACTTTGCTCTGGCTGATGGTGCATGAGGACAAGTTAAAGTTCCCCCAGAAGAGGCCCTCAACCAAGGACTGGGAGTGGGTAGGTAAATAACCCACTTGTCTTCCTTCCCATCCCATTTTTCTACCATTGTTTCCTGTGATCATCCCCAAAACGAGTCACTTAAACCCAAACCCTCCTGTCAGGATCTCTCTCCAAGAAAACCTAAACAGTAAATAAGATAAAGGAGGTCTCTGTCCACAGAAAGGCCCTGAGGACAGTGGGGTCTTTACTGGGTCAGTGTAACGCTCAAGGCTGCTTGCCTATAGGCACTCAATAAACACAAATGTATTTCCCGTCTAAAACCCAGAGGGGGCAATTATTGTCCTGGAGGAGTGCACCCATTTTCAGGGATGGTAACTGGTTTACCCATGCTCAATTAGAACTAGATGGTAGCATGTGCCAGCCAGAAGCTGGATTTCTTTCTTTTTTTAAAAAAAATATATTTTATTGATTTTTTACAGAGAACAAGGGAGAGAGATAGAGAGCTATAAACATCGATGAGAGAGAAACATTGATCAGCTGCCTCCTGCACACCCTCCACTGGGGATGTGCCCTCAGTCAAGGTACATGCCCTTGACTGGAATCGAACCTGGGACCCTTCAGCCTGCAGGCCGCCACTCTATCCACTGAGCCAAACCAGTTAGGGCAATGGCTTTCTTTCTTTCCTTTCTTTTTCTTTTCTTTTTTTTTTTTTTTTTTTTTTTTTTAAAGAAGCTGGATTTCTTGATTTTTATTTCAAGCCAGAGCTTGCCCCTGGAAAGCTAATCCAGGTTAATTCCCGTTGATTAATCATTAATATGCCAAAGAACTGCTGAGATTAAAAATAGGAATGAGCGGTTTTATTTCACCCCAGCCCCTCTTTATTTTGACGGCTTATATTTTCCACATCTTCCTAACACCCACTAGTACAGTACCAGTAACAAAAAGGGGGGTCATATGAAATTGGCCAAGATATGGATATTAGGAGCAGGATTCTCAGCCACAGGGGCCAGGAAAGTCATGTGGGGCTGATCAGGCTGCCGCAGCCCTTTTGGCCTCTCAGAAACCTTAATTTCAAAGACCCTAGCTTTGGATCAAGTTCAGAGTTAGGTTTAAGAGAAACGGATATAATAGTTAAAACTCAGGCTTAAAATGGTCTTAATTAAAAGATTCATTTGGTTATTAAGAGAGGGTGTTGGCTTACATTGGGAAATAATGCCATGTAATGAAGAAGTACTATTTTGCTCAGTTTTCTGGGAAATGGGTGTTTTCTTGGGTCAGACCCTCTCACCCTCCCCATTCAAGGACTAAAAAAAAGCCCAAGGCGGCCTGTAATTATTACTCTGCCAGCTGTGGTTTGGAGGAGATTAAGCCTCAGTTGTACCCTCCCTAAAAATGAGTGCAATGACGTCCCCCTCCACTCCTCTGGCCTTTCTACCCAGTTCCTCTATTTACTCAAGAAAATTCTTTCTGGTGCTGATTGCAGTCTCTTTGAAGATAGGGACTTGCCCTCCCTAGATTGATCCCCAGCAGAGTCTGTCCTCACACCCGGGGCCCGGAGGGGGCGCTGTTCTGGGGGAAGTTAGTTGGGTTTAAATAAAGCATTTTTCCCGGTTGTTGGTGGGTTGTGCAGGGTAACACCCTCTGCCATCTCAGCTCGTCGGGATTCAGGGGCGCAGGCCCAGCGCCGCCGGGACTCGAACCTCCCACCAGCCGCCCAGGAAGAGCCCGTTTTGAGTCAGCCCCCGGGAGCGGCGCGGCGGGCCCACAGTGGGCGTGGGCGGTCGGCGCCCCCTCCCCCGTCTGGCGGTGCGGCCGGCCCCGTCCCGCCCCCGCGCGGGGCCGAGCGCCACGCAGCCCCGCCCCGTCCCGGCTCCGCCCTCCCGGTTCCCTGCGGCTCCTCCCCTCTCCCATTGGCCCAGGCGGAGACCCTCCTCTCTGCCCAATGACAGCCGCCGCTACTTGGCCTCCCGCGCTCTGATTGGCCAGCGCCCGGCAGAGTGGCGGGTCGCGGGCCAATGGAGAGAGGCGGCCCGATGAATGGCTGGCGCGGGTGGGGAAGGCAGGAGGCGGCGATCCCGGCGGAGGGGGCCGTTCGCCAGCTCCGAGGCAGAAAGTGCCACGACTCCACACACGCGCACGCAGCCAGCTAGCGGCCGGAGCGGACGGCGGACGGGGCGGGCGGCGTCGGGGTCGCGGTGTCTGCAGCTGCTCGGGGGTGGCTTTTCGGCGGAGGCTCGGCCGGCTTCTCTCTCCCGGTTCCGCGGCGGCGACGCGGCTTCTGCCCTCACGCTCTCCCTCCCGCTTCTCAGGCTGCAGGTAAGAAACTTGGCCCGGCCCTGCAGCGGCGGCCACGGCGCGTGGGCCGGGCCGTCGGGGCGCCGGGCAGGGGCGAGGGCCGGCTGCGCCGCGAGTGACACGTCTCCTTCGGCGGCCCCTCCCCCGGCAGCGCCGCCAGCCGTCGCGGCGGCCGCGGACCCTCCGGACCCTCGGAGTCGGGTCCGGCGCCGGGGGCGTGTGCCGGGCCAAACCCGTGCAGGGGCGTCAGCCGGGTGCGCCCCACGGTGTGAACTCAACGCTCCTCGCCGTCGGGGTGACCGGCGGCGGCCCCGTGGTGCGACGTGGCGACCCCTCCCTCTCCGCCGGGCCGTCGGGCCGGCCCGCGCGCTCTGAAGTTGGGCGAAGAAAGTTGTCGGCGGGGTGGGGCGGCGCACAGCTGGAGGAGGAAGGGGTTAAGTTTCGGGAAGCGGCCGGATGACGTTGCCGGGCTGCAGTCCGGACTGGAGAGGGTGGGGGGACGGGCGGAAGGCTGCGGAGGCCGGCCGGGGGGAGGAGGGCGGGATTGAATGAGGGCCCGCGGGCCGAGCGCGCCCGCCTGCGGGCTGCGGCCTGGAGGCGCTTCTAGGGGCTGTGTGGCCCCGGACGGGCGGGGCCTGGGACGCGGGGCTGCGGGTGAGGTCGTGCAGAGACCGAGGGCTGAACGCGGTCCGGACGCCCCGGCGGCCGCTGTGGCAACTTCCCGGAGTGAGGGAGGCAGCTCCCTGCTCCCCCTGGCGGCCGGGCTGAGGGCACCCCCCCCCCCCCCCCCCCCCCCCCGCACCCGGCCGTGCGGAGCTCAGCGCTCGGGCTCCCGGCGGGGGTACGTGGGCACCTCGGGCCCTGCCCGGCCCGCCCCGCTGGTGCCACGATGAATGGACTGGCGGTGCCAGGCCCGGGCGGAAGCGGGCACCTCCGGCCCGGTCGGCCAAGCGTGTTGGCACCCGCCCCGGCCGGCCAGGCTCCCAGGCTGCTCTCTGGGGCAGGGGAGGGCAGGCTGGGGTCCGTGCTTCCTCTGGGGCTTCTGGGAAGCTTCAGGACTCCTCCCCAGGTTACAGTTCATAAATGGTGGGTTGGGATGGTGAAGTGGTTAAGGGAGGGAGGGGGTCTTCTGAAATCCCAGCACCGTTGAGGGTGACCTCGACCCAGCTGTTTCACTCCGGGTTCCACTTCCCTGTGTGAAAAACAGGGCTGCTGATGTTTCTACTTAAGAGAAAATTTGTGCAGCACATGCATGGAGTAATCAACAAGTGCTGGCCGGTCTTGTTGGAATGAGTTTTTAGGGGCGTGTGGGGCTTGGGAGGGAAGTGGAGTCGTTCTGGCTCCATCCTATTTGCTGCAAATGCAGGGCTGGATTCCACCCCTATGCCACTATGCTTAGGGTTTCCTTATCTTTAGCCTGGAGATAGTAAAACACACGCACAATTAGGAGCTGGGTAATCTCCCAGGCAAGTGCTGGATAAAACAGGGACCTTGTGCAAACAAGGCAGTTTGGCAATAACTCCTGGAGGTCGGAGGTCAACAGAGACTAGGAAGCAGGTCAGAGGTCAGCAGAAACTAGAAAGCATCAAGAAAATGAAGCTTTGCAGAGTTGTGAGCCTCCCACATCACTGTTTGCCTAGTGTGCTGGAACCTTTAGGGTGAGGGTGCCTGGCTGGCACTTTCTGGAGTTTGGTCCTCACACCCCAGGCTAGAGATCTCTTCAAGAACACTGCTGCTGAGGATCCAGAGACCTAGGTCTTTGTCCAGCACTCCCAGGAGGGACAGCTGCATGTTTTACCCCATCCTTGTGCATTTGGGGAGCATGTATTCTCCACTGACCCTGCCTCCTGCTTTTCACTTTCCCTCTGTGTTAGTCGTTTTAACTAACTTCCTGTTAATCTGATACCAGGGAAGTCTTGGTGATCCTGCATCATGCTGCCTGCTTACTGTGGTGATGTCTCAGTTCCTTTATGAACTTTCCAAAGGTCAGCCAGACTATGGGTTGCCAACCTATTTCCCTTCCAGAGAGTAGCTTCCAGTTCTGAGGTCCTGGAGATGCCACTTCCCTCTCTAGTTAAGCAAAGGACAGAAAGTAGGTTGTTTTCCCTTTTTACAGAGCAATTTGAACTTGGCTTGCAGAGCTTCTGGGCCCTGTTGAGTGCAGGAGAACAGAAAAGGTGTCCGTTTGGAAATAGAGGGTGTCCAGTGGGTAGAGCTAAAGACATGCTATAACAGAATTCTTTCATAATTGGGAATCGGCCTTTGAACATCTATAAAGAGATTAAGATGGTAAAGTGGTACCTTGGCATCTTACTATTTTTTGGTTGTTGGGAGTTTTAAATAAATCTGAAATCATTGAGTCACATTTGAGCAATTTTGTTCTTTGCTGAAATGAACCCTAATCAACAAGCTGCAGTAATTATAGCACTATATTCTATATAAGTGGTTGAATACAAGTGATTTAATTGGAATATTGGTTTATTATATAGCAGGGACACCTTTTAAAAGTGAGAAGACCTCATACTCTTCTTACTTGTTCTTTTATTCCTGGAAGCTTATATTAATAGGTGAACGACACTTAGGCAGGGAGTCAAGAGTTCTTTTGAGACACCAGATTTTTTCTTTGCTAAAATCTTGTTTTAGGGGGGGAAAATGGTCAGTCAGAATTGTGAAGGCAAGACTGTGTTATTTCATCTGTACATCTAGGAGCTGCAATGTTTAAAGTCTGGCCTGTAACACAATAAAAGTTGGCTAAATGAGGTAGACCACAATACCTATTAATATAGTCTCTTTAGTTGTTTCTTATCTCATTGGGCAAATGAAGCTGAACCCAAGTTTATTTTTTAAAAGTTTAGAATTAGATTCCACAACTTTGACATGTATCTAGGTCTTGCAACAACCCCATTCTAAGAGTAGGTATGGTTGTCCCTATTCTGTGGGTGAGATCATGGAAACTCAGCCTGTTAGGTGGTTGTCAAGCGAGTTCCCATTGCCCAGTTGCTGGGTGATGTGGGCATAGCCTTCACAATGTTAACCTATCCTATATAATAAAACCCTAATATGCAAATTGACAGAACAGCAGAACGACTGGTCGCTATGACATGCACTGACCACCAGGGGGCAGACACTCAATGCAGGAGCTGCTCCGTGGTGGTCAGTGTGCTCCCACAGGAGGAGCACCGCTCAGCCAGAAGCTGGGCTCACAGCTGGTGAGTGCAGCGGTGGTGGTGGGAGCCTCTCCCGTCTCTGCAGCAGCACTAAGGAGCAGTGAGCCGAGTGGTAAGGAGCAGCGAGCAGGTGGGCGGTAAGGAGCAAGGGGTCCTGGATGGTGACAGGGCACAGGCAGGGTGAGGGACCTCCCCCCCCTCCCCCCCCCAGAGCACGAATTTTATGCACCGGGCCTCTAGTAGGTCCATATAATTACACACTTGCTGGGACAGTAACTACCCAAGGGAAGACATGGAACTAGAAGATGTAAATTAAAAGCTTTAATGGAAGGAAGGTAGGGACTCAGTTGAAAATGTGGCAGTGCAAGAAGGTACTTTTAATTTCATTTCTCAAGCATCTCGTGTGTGCTGGGCCTTCAAACACGATAAATACAAAGTGTGATACCAATTCTTGTCTGAAGAAGCTACCATCTAGAAAACTGTGTTGTCTAATATGGCAGCCACAAGGAGTTATTTAAACTTAAATAAAATTTAAAATTCAATTTCTTAATCATGCTACCCATATTTCAAGTGTTGGTCAGTGGAGATTTAGATCATTTCCATCATCACAGGAAGTTCTAGAGATAGTATTCTCTAATCATTCAAGTCTCTGTTCCTTGGACATATTAATACGTTGAACCATATGAAATTGCCCATTCTATAATCAAAAAGTTGACTAGTGGTAGTTCATGCACTTCAAACTAATGAGATATATCACCTTTAGAAAACATTACCAACTCTTTGGGTGCGTTGTAAATTGCATACCAAGGAAAAGAAAGGAGGTGGATGAGTAACGCAGATACCGCAGTGGCTCTGCCTTGGAGAGATTTTTATCAATAGCATCAAAGCGATCAAACCAAGCACACACATAAATCATTATTGGGCAAAAAGCATATGGTTTGTAGAGAAAGTCAATATTTAATTCTAAGTGAGAGAGCCTGGGCAAGAGGGCCACTTAGCATTATAGAAAATTAACTTGGGTGCTTCGTAGGAGGCAAATTCTGATGAGTCTCCTGAAACAGGCAACCTGACTCCCAGGTCTGAAAAACCAGACATATCTAGTATATTTCCTTGAAGTGCTATAAGTGACATGTGTCTCCCCCTAGCAATGGGAAACAACTTTATAAAGAAAGTGTCATTTCTACATTTAATTATGTTTGCAAGACTGGAATAGCTGCCAGTTCCCAAATCTTATATATTCCAATATACTGGCATTTTTGTACTTGGCTGTCATAAGTTGTTTCCTGGGTCAATGATTATTTGCAAGGCTCTATTATACTAGTGGGCTGATCTTGGTACTTGGAGTAGATTAACATAAAACTAAAGTTAACAACCCAGAATGATGGGTAGCTACTTATTCTCTTCTGGTTAGAGAGGAGATTGTGCCAGAAGTTATTAGCTATTTATAGTGATAATGAATATCATCTGCTGGCTCAAAAGCTGGAATAAAGACTATTTTAAGCCCAAACCTTGAATTCCATATACTAACCCTGATCGAGGTATGAGCAAGTAAGATCTGCTTTAGACTGTCTTAAGGCTGGTTCCAGGCTGGTGCCCTGTATGGACACCATGCAGAACTTGGTCTGCACATGAGATTTGCTTGGTCAGCCTCATGTTACTAAACAATTAAATCACCTTTTAAAAATGGAGAATTTTTTTCATAAAATCTAGATTATTGGGTTTTCTTGGAAAAAATGGGAATTTCTGGCCACACCAGGTCTGCCGCCTTTAATGGCAACCATGGACCGTGGTCACCCTCTGTGGTCAGTACCTGTGATCTCTTTCACCAGCATCCTACCCTGATTTACATGACTT